CACGGGTTGATTGATGAGGGAAATAGACGTACCAGCCTTGAATCTGAATCCATACATATCAGCCAAGTATAGTTCGAGGTATGGAAGCTCCGTCCATAGTTTCAACTCGATCGCCGTGGGCGACTGGCCGGTAGCAGGATCGGTAAGGTCAACACGTTGAAGCTCAGCAATAAATTCAACGAGCTTGCGCTGTTTTGCAGGTGGTGTGAGATTTATGATCTCTACGAGCAGGAGCATGGTGAACCATGTGTGGTTGCCATCAATTTCAGATGGGGGTTCTTGTCCATGGTGTAGGTTCTCGCGTACCCGAAGAAGCCGTTGGACTGCCTCAGTGGGTGAAATATCGGGATTCTGAAGCAAATCATTAATGACTCGGAATTCTGGTCGTACAACGAGGTCTTCGCCGAGCTCTGCCCTGATAGCCTCTTCCATGATGGTGGCTTTGAGGTTCTGGAGGAAAACAAGGTGGAAGACGCGCTTGGAGTGCTTTAAATAATGGGCGTGGGGTCTGTTGGAAAGCGGTCAGCACTAATGAATTGATCAGCCAACCATTTCGAAAACGAGATCGAGTTCAGCCTTCTATGTTAGTCACACAAATCAGATTTGTGGGGTCCCCCACTTTGCAAAGGATCAGGTCCCTGAATCTGGCGGGTAATTTTCATATTAAAGGGTCCTAACATGTGCGGGAGATGCCGTTGCAGCCTCCAAGATGGCCCGGCCCCCACTTTGGTAAGGAGATCCAGATTCACCGTTACCCGAATGTCGGCCTCTCATTCTAGTTTAGCTGGTAGCAGTCCTATACTGTATGGCATCAATATGGCCCCCATTACGGGAGTATAAATAGCTAAGCGACTTCGTATACCATATAGACTTCTGAGACACTTCTTGGGGGCCGAGAAGACGCTCTTGGAGCTTCAACGTTTTTGGCTTCTATAGCTCATGGTATGATCCAAAGCATGCAGCAGGGTATAAAGTCTGCCCTTTCGCAACATTGTTCCTGTTCTCATCCCGTCATCAGCTCAGTCACTCACTTAACAATCCCTTTCATACTTTGATTTCAAGTCTTTCCTTCAAGCAACCCCCCAACTGAACACATTCACTCTATCACTATGTTTTTCACCATCAAGCCCACCATTCTTTTGGCCTTAGCCCTCACTGCAATTGCCAGCCCAATCGCTAACCCGACGGTCGATGATGCCAACACCCTGGTCGCCCGCGCCACTAGGAAAGACGTCGATTGCAACGGAGTGAGGTTCACTAAAGCAGACATTCATAATGCCATTGAACAATCCAAGGTGGTCGAAAAAGGAAGGGAGACAAACGCCAGGGCCTATGGCAAGTATCCAGCGGTTTACGGCAATGGCGAGGGCATTTTTGGCTCCACCAGCACCCTGTATGAGTTTCCATTGGTCTCAGGAACCTACAGCGGAAGTAAGTCACCCCATTTCTGCTTCTGTCTTGCACTTTCTTGCTTTCCACTGGCGCGTATTAGAGTAGGCGAGCACGCACTAACAAGATTGATAATGTAACAGAGAAGACTGCCGGAGAACCGGGTAGCTACCGCGTTATCATGAACGAAAAGTACACCTACCAGGGATCACTATATCACATCGCAGGTGGCGGTTTCAAAAAGTGCAAAGATCTTGAGGACACTCCTACCACAACAACTACTACCACCACTACTGCTGCTAAGGCTACCACCACTGCTACTACCAAGGCTAGCAGTGGTAACACGAGTCACAAGACGGGCAACAAGTCTGGCAGCAAGTCAGGTAAGAAGACTGGTAGCCACTAAAGTGATTCTGCTTCACTGCCTACGAAGGGGCACGTGAAAGTCACGACCGTTAGACCATCGAGGAAGATGTTCCAACAGAGGATGGTAGGAAGGTGGGAATAGCGGAGCTGACATAGTCATGGGTCCTGTACTCTAGTTTTGTATGATTGATCAGTTGTATAATAGCCCTGATGCAGTTCTTTCCACATAGACTTACATCCACTGTCTCAGTGATGGAAGAGAAGATCAAATAGAGACACTTGTTTCATTGAATCAATGGTGGTGGTAATATTTCGAGGAATCTAAGTTTCTTACATTATATCGATAGCCCCAGATTGTATATATTTATATCTGACTATTTGAATACTGTACAATTAATTCTAAAACTCATGCGATACCTAATATCGTACAGTGAGTGAGTAATCATATTTAATCTCTTCACATGATTGCATAAATTCATAGCAGGCAAGGCGTTAGCATGGCCAAGCAAGAGGCAGATTCATAGTGATGTATTAGCTAGGATAGCTATAGTACAGGTACATTTTCTATTTTATCTACTCTGTTTAGTTTAGGTATATCCTCGTTAAATATTACAATCATAATTTAGGTTTTTTAATATTCTTTCAGAATGGAAAATACTCCATTTCTGACAAATCTACTACAGAATCATATATATCACAAGTTCTCTATTATCTTACACAGACATTCCTGAGCTGGATGTGCTGTGCCCTTGGCAACCACATACATCCCATCCTTGAACATAGTCTATCAGGATCCTGAATCAATACAGTATTAGTTTGATATTCCGGTCGTGCAAGATATTCTTCAGCGAAGTCTTCCATGATGAGGGGTAGATTCTGGGGGTGGAAAGAAAGAAGGATCAGGACACGACATGATCGATTCAAAATGAAGGGCGTTGGGGCTGCGTGGAAAGCGGTTAGCACTGAGAAACTGACCAGTCCACTGCTTCCAACTGACCACCTTTGCGCTCCTGGAAGGGAAATGAAACATTTGTTTCCTATATTAAGAATGCGAACTGTGAGACAACCCCACATTATATAGGATCAAACCCCCGCAATCGATAGGCGATTTTCATAGTAAAGGGGTCCTAACGTGTGCGGGTGGTACCGTTGGCCCGTAAGCTGCAGCGTCAAAGATCGCCCGGCCCCCATTTCGTAGATGGATCTCAGTGCACCGGGATTCTACTAGCAGAGACGATCTTCGGTTCGGTCCAGTTGGCAGCTGTCTAATCTCTTTTTGGCCCCCTTCTAACCCCCACCATGCGGATATACATAGCTAAGCGAGGTTGTATACTCTATAGACAACTGAGACATTCCTTGGGGCTGAAAACCGTTTTTGAGGGCTCAACCTCCTAAGTCATAGTAGTATATGGCGAGATACAATGACAGAGAAGGGTATAAAGACTGGCTCTTTGCACCACCGTTCCGAATTTTCATCTCGCAATCAAGTCACTCACTCAACAATTCTCTCCTACTTTCAATACCAGTCTCTCATTTGGACAAATCTCCGTCAACACACTCTTTCCAACTCAGACATTTTGTTTCCAGTTAAGAACATAATTCAAGATGCTTTTCAGTCTCAAGCCCACCCTTTTTCTAGCCCTGGCTCTCACTGCAGTCGCTAGCCCCATCGCCAACCCAACGGCCGATGAGCCTAATACTCTTGTTACCCGCGCCCGCAAATCAATCAAAGATGTTGACTGCGATGGGAAGAGGTTCACCATAAATGATATCAAAAACGCCATCAACCAGTCCAAGAATGGCGGTGGTGGGAGATATCCATCTTCCTATGCAAACCACGAAGGCCTCTTTAATGCTAAAAATATGAAAGAGTATCCGTTGGTCTCGGGTGGTACATATACGGGTAAGCTGCCCTAATATTGCTTTTTCTTGAACTCTTCGTTCCAATGTATGGGATTGTGCTAATACATCTGAGGAAGGTGGCGCACCGGGAAAGTACCGGGTTATCTTGAAAGCGAATGACGACTATGTCGGGTCGGTGTATCATATTCCGGGTCTAAGCAATGGTTTCAAGAAATGCAGTAATATTGAGGACAGTCCTGCTACCACAACTACTACGACGACTACTACCAGAGCCACTACCACTGCTACTGTGGATGCTACTACAAATAATAGTGGCAACAGCTCTGGCAACTCCTCTGGCAACAGCTCTGGCAGCAACTCCAGAAAGAAGTCTAGCAAGAAGCCCAGTACCAAGACCGGTTCACACTAGAGCCGTCGCTTGTAGCGCTCATGACAGCAATACGTTCTCATATAGGACTGCCTGCGCGAAAGGCGAGCACACTGGGGGAGAGGGTACTCCAAGTGCCAGAGGGAAAGAAGGTTGGGTTTGCGGATCTCTAGGGCGATACCTGTATTATATGTATAGTATTGAACCTTTATTGCTAGTTGAAGTATTTCTGGAAGATATAACATCTCATGTAAGTTAGTTCTGCTACGAAGGATTAGACAATCACAATACACGAGACTAAACCAATGTTGGGCATCTTGAACCATCCCGAGTTCCATTTAATAGGTTTCACTTTTGCCTGGATCTTCATGTTCGGTATCTTCGACGTCTGTTGGAGATACAAGATCATCTCCTCGAGCAAACGATGGACAAAAGAAAGGACCTTCGGAGAACTTCGGCACGGCTGCCCCTAACGCTGTGTGTCCGCAAGACTTTGTCCTCACAATGGAATAAATGGTTGCTCTCCATAGGAGACATGCTGGTGTCAATACAGGCGTGGCAGTGAATGCGATTGTCGCTCCGGGATATATAGTCATTGGTACGCAACAAGCGATCATTAATTGTATACGGGTGGGGTTAACTGGTTCTTTGCGGGAGATGAAAGTGGCCAAAAGGAGGAAGATTCGAAAACAAATAATTGCTAAAGCAGTTTCTAGCATAGATGCTTTTTTAGTTGGGACTTTTCTGGTGGAGGAAGATCAATGCCGGTAGTTCATTGTGCGTGCAACTCAGCTCAATCACATGCAACAAACCCAATATTAGTCGGTTTTTAACAAAGCCTACAATGGAGTCATGTATTTGAATCAGGTCTTCTGTTATCTTTCTTTACCCACTCCAGTCAGATGAAGAGTGCATGGCGCCTTTCTACACAGCTTATTATAATCTTAATACAGGATAGTCGGCAATTCTACACCCTGCTCTAACATCTACTTAAACTCATGCTACAATAGAAACCCTTCAACCAAATGATTCGTCTACAGACACAATCTTAATCACCTATAATGTACATATCATGTCAAACAATCATACCACTTACACAGCCAACCTCACCTTACACGGATACCCTTGAGCCGGATGCGCCGCGCCCTTGGCAACCATATATGCCCTCTCTCCAAACATAGTCCGCACCGCGCCAGCCGCCGGGTTCTTACGATCCCACTCCTCATACTGACTATCAAAATCAAACTCCCGCACCAACATAGCCAGAGTAATTTTAATAGCCAACATAGCCATGTTCTGCCCCACACAGTCTCGTGCACCACGCTCAAAGGGCCGCCATCCACCAGTAGGCGGATAGAGCTCATGCCCCGGCTCAACGAGCCAGCGATTGGGTACGAACTCGTGCGCATGGGGCCAGTACCCTGGGTTCCGTTGGATAGCGGTATGCACGATCCAGACGGGGCAGTCATCTACAGGGAAGGTCCGTCCATCGGTGCTGTGGGTGTCGGTAAGGGAAATGCCCGGACGACCCCATCGGATGCCGTTCGCTGGGGGGAAGAGACGGAGTGCTTCCTTGATGACGGCGGTGGTGTAGGACAATTGGTTGATCTTTTCGGGGTGTTCCCTGATCTGTGTTGCGACGGTCGTGGTATCGGGGCCGAATATTTGTTCGTGTTCCTGGCGGATCGTGCCGAGGGTGTCGGGGTATTTGGAGAGGAGGTAGAGGCAGTAGATAATAGTCACGGCGGTTGAGTCGTGTCCGACGAAGAGGAAGAGACGAATTTGGATGATGGCCCAGGATTTGAATTCGGGGTCTAGGGTTGAGATCTGGGTTTGGCTTGCGGGTCGGTTCTTCATGTATTCGGCGATCACGATATCCATGATGGATTTACCACGGGTTGTGGTTTTTTGAGCTTGTTGCAAGTATTCCTGATAGCGCTTTTCGAGTTCCAGGCCGATGTGGTGGTTCATGATCTGGCTGTTCCGCCATTGACGGTACAGCCGGTGAATGTTCCAGCGTCGCAAGGGGTTGTTCTCTCCTTCTCGACCGCATTCGAGCTCAATGGTGCTGCGCATTGCGGCGGCGATGGGGTTGTGGCCGGTTTGGTAGTTGAAGCGAGTGTTCCTGGTAGTTTGTCAGTGGCTGTATTCGCCGGACATGTTTACGATCGGGTTATTCTTACAGTGCAACATTGCCGACTACATCCATCATATAGTTACAAGCAAGATCGTCCATGGAGAATGTATCGCCCTTCTTGGCATGCTCTCGAAGAATTTCAACATAGATCTCTGCTTCCTCTAGGATGTAGTCTACATGCCCTAGCACGGCTGCCATGCTAAAAGTGTGGTTGAACAGATCGCGATCACGCTTCCACACTGCACCATTGGTCGTGAAGAAATTATCTCCACCCGCCATTGGGTTGATAAATCCTGCCAGGAGGCCGGTTGGCTTCGTCAGATTGTAGGTTTGACAGGCCTGCACGGCGAGTGGCGGAGTGGTGCAAACAAACATTGGATACATGAATGGCCAAACATCAATATAGAAGCCGTTTTGCAGTCCTGGGTACTCCATTGAGAGGATAGCGAACGACTGAGATTGCATGGCATCACTGGGACACTTCTTGGCAAGACCGGGCATAATTCGCAGATGTCCGAAGATAGGGTCCCAGGGAGGCATTGGCTATAGACTGTTAGTCAAGACCATGAATCAAGAGGTGTTCACATACCATTCCTTGTTTTTTGAGACGATACATGTACAGTCGGGTCTTCACCATCTTGTAGAAGACTGTGGTGAGGCCAACCACCGCCAATGTGATGGCGATACGGGCGCCGAGGCCTTCCCGTTGGAAGTTAGAACCTTGCATTGGGGCGCAAAGCTTAGGCTGCGGGAAGGGGTAAAAAAGATGGCAGATAAAAGCAAGAGAGTGCCGGAGGATAGAAAACAAATTGGGGGGGCGCGGGATATTAAAGAATGAGCAGATCAGGGGATGAGAAATTAAATAGAAGCCGGCCGGTTCACTGGCTAGTAAAGTACCACTAACCGGGGTGTGTGTTTTAGTGGCAGTTCTAGGGCTTCACAGAAAAGTTACAGTTGCAGGGGAGAGGCACAGCCCGTATGGTAAGGAACTTACGGTACTTAGCGGTATCAGCCTTGCGCAACCAAGGCTGGTTCCCCAACATGACACCGGGGAATGTAGTATACTCTATACATGTGACTACAACCTGCCGCCACAGGAAATGTGTCTTCCCAGGAATACCCCAAGCCGGATTGATGCGATTCACCATCTGCTTTATTGCGCGGGGTCGACTTTGTCCGCAAGGATCATCCCGCAGTCAACGAATCTTTAAGTCGTACCGTCTGGTTACCCCAGCCCTGGGTATCACGTCTCCAGTATGGTAGGAGCTGAAGCGTAAACAAAAGTGAAACTCAAGAAACAGTTCCAAACCATTGCCCCCTTGATGCAATTACTATGGGGGTCGGCTGATCACAGAGGTTGCCCTGGCAGGGTTGTCGAAAACCATTCCTCTTTCAAATCAATTCTCGAAGCTGCCCTTTAAAGCGCCTGCGAGACACATCTGTTGACCTAACACAGTCCTCCTGACTATTACCTCTGAGTGTACAAGCATCAGAAAGAATGCGGCCGCAAGACTATGCGGGACGGATCCCTCGGGATTCTTTCATCGTGGGTCTCTTCGGTTCATGTGCTTCCAATGCACACCTAACTCCTAGTCCAGATTTCCATCTCGATCCTCCTAGCCCCGGCAGTCTTGGGAGTGCTTATGCGACTCTTCATTCGGTTCCGCGTGCACCGGCAGCGACTCTCCGTGGATGACTGGCTGCTTGTGCTGGCCCTTTGCTTCCTGCTGGCCAGTATCATCATCATGTATCGCAAGGTGATAGACCCAATGTATCTCCTCATAGCAATGGAACTTGGAATGAAAGACATCGCTATTCCGGCTGATATTATCGGAGTGGGAAATGCGTACCATGTGTGGAATTCAGTTTGCCTGACAGTCTCTTGGTGTGCTTTCGGAGCCGTCAAACTCAGCTTTCCTTTTTTTCTTCAAGAAGCTTATCGATCGAATCAGAGCCTGGCAGATCTACTGGGGGGCGATAACTATTTACACATGTGCCGTTCTAATTTACGGCTCCTTGATCTTTTTTCTTAGTTGCCCCTATTTCTACGACATCAGGCAATGTAAGCATGATTTCATTATGGACTGGATTTGGTGCTTATTGGAGACAGTTACTTGTTCAGTTGGGTCCAAGAAGGGTAAGGTCGTGACAGAATCCACAAGCCTTATGGCGCTGGATACCGTGGGAGACTTTCTGAGTTAGTTTGGCAGAATATCCACAACTTTCAAAGCTAACATATGTTAGTTCTGGCAATCCCCGTCAACATAATCTGGAAGATCCGGGTCCGATGGACCCAAAGGATCGTTCTGACAATGTCGCTCTGCCTTACAGTTGTCATGATCGCACTATCGATAGTCAGAGTTTCCGGACTTCTCTACCACGATATAGTCGACGCCATTTGGGAAACATACTGACAGTTTCTGAGTGCTGAAGTCGGGGTATTCCTAGTCGCGGCAGTATCATTTCGCTCATTCTTTGTAGCGCAGAATCGATCACACAGGCCTCCCCCCTTCTCAGTCAAAAGGTTCCTCCGGGAGTCCTTTTCATCTCACAAACATCGCCAGCCAGACTCTATGTCAAGCACTTGGTTACATGACTACGGTTCTGAGCTGGAAGTTCTAGCCAGTCGCTCTAGCACACGAGAAGTTGGCGTCCAGCAGGCCGGAGCACTTGGGGATGTTGAGGCGAACTCGACTCATTGAACCAGCACCGCATGGTATGCCACTCCGGACTAATTCTTTGTGAGATGCCATATCAGCGCATGTGAAGCATGAGGAATACCTGGAAAGCTCTCAGTACGCTTTTCAATAGCAACGAATATCGGTTGTCAACCCGGGAAGCCATGCACTTAGCCAAATTAAGCCCTTACATTTCTGAGCAATTTTGGATCTTTCATCTAATTCACATGGAAAAATTCCATCAGATGCTACAGCTGGTGCTGCCGTAAGTAATCTGTTGCATTCTGAATGCATGAGAAATAGCCATGTGGTGTATGTGTTCCATGGGAAAGAGTCCTGTTGCGGTTGGGGAAGTTCAGAGCACTAAGGGATCAGTGACGGTAACCTGGCTCGCGGCTCACTCTGTCGTTCCTGTCAACCCCGCTCGGCTTGGTCGATCCCTTCCCTGGGCGGCATCATGATCATGACGCCGCGTCTGCTCGGCGCGCGCCGCTAGACAAGGCTATTTAATTTTTACACCATGGAGATGCCCCACATTTCACTTGATTTCGATAAGCCCCCACTGGCTGGTAGTGGAGTGGCCAGCCGACTCCACAGCTGAAAACGACTGGCAGGGGGCGATAACTCGAGCTCTAAGAAGCCAAGTTAAAGAGACCCCATGATTCCCACAGGTTGACTGGCAATTTCAGCAGCATTTAGTTTATCTTCACTGCACCTGGTATGCTTTTACTCGGACCCATCATGCAATGGCATACCTCACGAAGCACGAAATAATTGCTGCTTTGAGCTGCCTTTGCCTCTCCCTTCTCCTATTCGCCGCCTCCGCTGCTGCCCCTCCTTACGTGTCACGCCAGGCCGTCGTTTTCTGCTTCCTACTCTCAGTTCCCTTCACCGTTGGCTATTGCGTCATATTCTTGGTTCAGTTGGTAGCAATGTCGATAAGACACTCTGTAGGTCAGTTACTGCCGATACATCTATCCAAAGATCCATCTGCCATCCACTCCGCCTCGTTGCACGCAGCATAAGTCACTGCTGACGCTGGGGAGGCTGATGAACAGTTCACCCGGAAATATTACAGGCATCTGTGCGACATGCATGTATCTCCAAGTGCGCGATCTTAGACAGAGAGGGGGTGGTTTGTCGTTGGAAACATACTTTTGCCCGACAAAGTAACAGACGGAGTGGAATAGACGGTACACAAGGCAGTGTGGCTAGGTTACACAAGGAAACAAAACCTGCTATGGATACGCCCCCTAGGACAAGGATAATTCATGTACAACTTACAAGGGCACCTAGAGCAGTCTCCATGACAGGGGAAGTAATACATACCCAGTCAAGCAGGAAAGTATAACATCAATAAGCACTAGTGGCAGGAGTGGTGTAGCACCGGGCCTGCTCTTCCTGCAAATCGAACTGCCATGTTCACTAACTCAAGGATAACGGTTCACGGCTCACATGGGTACCCAATCAGTCACTACAATAGGAAAAAGCATGCGTACCCTGTCTACCGGGAAATATAACGTCAACACCAGCACTAGCGACAGCAACCATGTAGTGACTTCAATCATCCTACCTGGGGACGCTGCTGGGTTAACGGGTGTAATGGAAAAACTTCCTCTCAAATCTCGCCATCGTGCACTCCTAAACAGCCCTGATTCATGAACCTGTCACCATTGTTCTACAATACATATTAGCACTAGTCACTATAAGCAAGCTTAGGAGGCTTTGACTGTAACCTACAGCACCGATTAGGTTTAAGCGTTGCTTGTACCCACAACCAACTGGTCACTAATAGCCAAGTAACAACAGATCACAGTGCAGTAGGTTATCGCTCTATTGTTCAAGGTACGACCTGGCGATCGGGACGGGATCGCTGCCTGGTAATCCTCTAATGATCCTTTCAATAGGAACGTCATTTGGAGCTTTGCAATATGAAACCCCCGCTGATGCTACGGTACCCATCGCTTGGTTTCCGGTACAGGGACAACTGAATATATTCTGATTCAGTCCAAGTAAGGATAAAGATTACACTCTTTCACATAGCTGGGAAACTGTCGTATTCTCCCTTGAGACCCTTTTACGCACGCCCAGGATGGCTATGTATTTTGTACATCTGTCTATAGTATACAAGTAGTCAATTGAAGACCGTTCGGGGGCTCTCGTTATGATGAAATTTCAAGATCATTCCAATCATTGAACATTACAATCCACACTTAATCATTATTCATCGTCCCGAATATCTGCGACCTTCTGCCGTTTTCATCATGGACCTTACAGAAGTATACATCACATATCTCATCACTATTGCCGCTATCGGATTTTGTCTGGTGAATTATTTGTTGGGCATACACGCGCTACATAGTCAGCCTCAAGTCAAACGAGGCCTAAAGATTCCCCCCTTGGTGCCGTCCCTGATACCGCTACTAGGAATGCTGCCATTCACGATGATGTGGAGCCCTCGAGACTTTATTCTCTCAGCAAAGTATGGCTACCTCACATGCAAAGGCAACTGTGGCTTATGTTGCCTAGGAATCTCTTATGGAATTCCCAACCCGTTCGCGCACGGGTCTTCACGCAAACCTTCTACATCTTCCAAGGCGCGGAAACTATCAGATCTATCGTCAACAAACGCAGCCTTTCTCTATTCCCCATACATGCTATCCTCCTTCGCCGCGTGTTTGGCCTTCCAGCAAGCGCGTCATGGATCTATGCCCAGGATAACTCCGGCGGGTTACCCAAACCGTATCCAGAAAGCAATGTTGAGCCGCAGAACTGGATTGAATATGTGGTTCAACGTACTAACCATCGCTTACTGGTTGGGCCAGGCTTCGCACCTTTAGTCAAGAGGTTTCAATCTGTCCTGACAGATCGCTTGCAGTCCCTTCCAATCGGTAGTGATTGGGTCAAATGGGACGATTTTGTCCAGTTGATTAATCACGGTTGACTGCCTCATTCATGGACTCGCTGTGCGGGATGTACTTGATGCAAGAGCACCCAGACTTTGCCATCAATCTATTTACTCTTCACGACAACTTTTGGAAGATGCTCATTGGAATGCCGCGGTTCCTGGCACCACAGGTTTATGCCGCACGGGACGCAGCGCTTGCCGCCCTAAAGGACTGGAATGCGTGGGCACGAGAACGTTCTGATCCCACAGCAGGCACATCAGAGGGCGATGACCCATTTTGGGCCTCTCAGTACTGGCGCGACCGCATCGATGCTTTTCAGCAGATTGATAGGTTTGATGCTAATATTATTGCCATTCATGATCTGGCTGTGATCTGGGGGTACGTCAAGGCTAATTTCGTATTTTCCGATGCTCTACTTATTAAGCTGGCTGAAAATGGTCTAGAATGAGCATCAATGGGGTCAACACTTCCTTCTGGGCCTGTCTGGAAGCATTCAAAGACCAAGAACTACTTGAACTCGTTCGGGCCGAGGCTCGCGCCTGTTTGATCCCGGATTCAGACGTTAAATTCGACATCGATCGTCTCCTACACCATCCAGTCTTGCAGGCCATCTATGCCGAGAGTCTTCGCCTCCGAATCAATGGCTTTTTTGTCTGGTACCAGTCCCGTGGCAATCTGAACGTAGATGGATGGCACATACCCAACAAGAATTGGATTCTCACCACTCCCATGGTGGGCCATATGGATCCCGGTATCTGGTGCACGGGTCCGAGTGCCGATCATCCTGTGGAGGAGTTCTGGGTGGGTAGGTGGTTGAAGTATGCGGATGATGGCTGTACACTAGTATTCTCGACCGACATGGCTAAGGGCGCGTGGATGCCCTATGGGGGTGGTTTTCATATCTGTCCCGGGAGGTACTTTGCCAAAACAATGATTATTCTTGGGGTGGCGTTAATGACGACGATGTATGATTGTGAAGTGTTGGCTGACGAGACGAATATGCGGATGAGCATGCGTACTTTTGGGTTCGGGACCGCTGGCCCGGTTGGAAAGGTGCCGGTTCGCATTCGAAGGAGGTAACTACGATTATTGTCGACCATTTTTAAAATTGCTATTCTTTTGTTTCTCTTTGGATTCCATCGTTCTCTTCCTATTGCTGGCTCGTCTTCTCCGTCAGTGTTATCACTTTGTTTTCTTATTTCTCCATTGGGAAGGCTGGCGGATTGCCCCTCACAATTCTAACCTTTGTTTCTCAATGATCTTAGCTAGGTTTCTGACGATCCATGTAAGTCCATTTGCCTACAATCTATGTCTAGGGATATCCGCTTCTTCAAGAATAGCAACATTTGTAATATATAAAGGCTCCCTGTGGCTGAGGATGATGAAACTTGAATGATAAGATGTGTAGGCAGGGCTATAATTAGTTAGATGGAAGCCTAACACTACGTTGATAGCATGTCCCATACTAAAGCACTCATGCTCTCAGTACTTAACCTTATCACTATATCTAGATATAAACTACAGGCGCCGCGCTACTATATAGTGCGACGGTGACTCATCAATCAGCTTTAGCTGATCGACGTTCCGATACCACGGGGGGACAGGGGGTTGTGTTGCTCCAGTTCTATCGGCTCGATGGCATCTTGCGATACGTCAAATTGAGTTAAGCCAAAATCAGTTACCTGATCAGAAAGCTTAGAAGCTGCCATGCTGACAAGCTCGCCGCTCTTCCCCCTATTCGCCATTGCAACCCAATAATGGGAAGCTTGGGCATTGCGTTGGGGGTCCAAAGCTCAGGGTGGGGAAGGGGGAAGAAAGACAAAGACTGATAGGGGAAAGACAAAGGAGAGTAGGATTAAGGAATGATTATGATAGGCATTGGAAAAGCCGTTTGTATCACTGGCGAATATTTAGTTTGTGTAACTAAGGGTGCCTAAGAGTGTAACTAGCAGGGAATAGATGCCAACGCAGGGCGCTAAGTGGCCGTTTCTAGGGTTAGTCAATGCCCAGGCCAGTGCAAGGAATAAGTACAGCCTGTATTGTAAGATATTGGCATCAGCCTTGCGCTTACCTTGTGGATGTTATAACATGGAGCATTAACTCTAGCTAAGCACTAAGACGGTTTGAAGCGCGGGAAGGAGTCTCCGACGCCGGTGATTGACGTTGCGCCCCCAGATGGATCTATCCGCGTTCACAGGGAACGGGTGATAGACATGAGATGTCCGTGCGAGCCACGAGCTCCAAGTCATGACTCCGGGAAACACCGATGCTTAGCGAACTGATGTCGCGTTCAGGACAGAAAAAGGGGCTCTTTTGTGACGCTAGAGTCATAATTTCCTGTGGACAGGGATAAGGAAGCCGTCTTGATGAGCGCCGTCTGTCAAGACGCACCCGTGACTGTTAGTGCATGCGGGTATTTCACCGACCGGGACGGCATGCGAAGCCAACCAGCGGCATCATACACTTGCTCCAACAGCCATCTCCAAGCCTCACAAGCGAACTTGAATTTGGTTAGCAAAATGCTCTTCACTTACATACTCCGTGTGTGACGTGGAAGGAATTACGCGGGAGCTATCTCTCTGCGACCGACACTCAGCTGATTGGCTGCGCCAAACAATCCAAGGCTAAGAAATCGATTGCCTTACTCATACAGTACAATTCCGCATGCTTGATTCAAAATGTGATCTTTCAATTCATCCACTAATGAATTAGAATATCTCTTCAACTGGAATTAACCAGTTCTAAGATAACACCACGTGGTTGAAGTTATTCAGGGCTTCAACGATTGACTAACCAGATGGCTGTGATGCTCATGCTGACAAATTGACCGGTTTTTTCCCCACAGTGACCCAGTTTGTGAACACAGTTCACATGAACTTTTTCTTGCGTACACGTGGAACGTTCCCGCGGCACGTGATGCCAAGCCCTTTATGTAAGCAGGAACGTTCCACACGACCCTATAAATTACTGTTTTTTATTATTGAAATTCAACTTCCTCTTATATTTCTCCAAGTTCATTACACACTTTATTTCAAGCACTTACCAAGTACTTTATAAGTACCTGCCAAGTACTTCCTAGACATGGATTTTCATGAAGTTATTGAACTTAGTTCTACGGAAGAGGAATACTCAACCCAGGTAATTTCTTAAGTAATTATCAAGTACTTAGAAATTAATTTATATCTAGGAACCGTCACCATTA